GGGGGGTGTCCAGAAAGTTGTAAACTGTTTTTATTAAAATACAAAAATAAGAAATTTGAATACTCACTAATCTAATAGTTTATTCTTATTTTCTCAACCTTCACTGAATGGAAGGCAAAATACTACCTTTCTTGCCTAAGCAAACAATGCCCTTCTGGTTAAAAATGTGTAGATGTTGGATTTAGGTGGTTGACTGATAAAATTTGCAAGTTTTATCTCACTTTTTTCCTATATCAGTGCATATGTGTGGCATGTAAACTTCCTTTCTGGTAGACTCGAAGTGCCCAGAGGAAATTTCTTCTGCTAAGGCCTCAGCAATTTGAATGTAAGCTGCAGATTTCCTATTTTAAACATGAGCATTCTGAACTTTTCTTCTCAGGCAGGGATGTGTTTTGAGAGGAAAGAGGGAAAGCGTCCTGCAGAGACGCATCTCCTGTCTCCTCGTGGAAGAGCCTACTTTTCTAGCACTAGGCCTGGAAGACTTTCCGCCCTATTTAAACTTCCGTCGTGGTGAAAGCAGGACCCCAATTCCCTGCTCCCCTGTTTGCCAGAGGACAGTTCGACCCGGTTCCCAGGAGGGAATTCTGCTGGGAAGGCAACGGCCCTCCCTGCCTACAACCTTCACTCACTCTCCACAGGGAAGGAGAACGGAGTCATAGGACCCCCGACATTAGGACAAGGAGCTGACCTTGAATCTCTCTTCCTGGAGCTGCCTCAGGCTGAAGGCAGTCCCTCCCTGTGGCATGCCCCTATGTGGACGAGGCCTGGAGACAAGGGTGAGGCCATTTCATCTTGGGGGGGAAGCAGTGGGAAGTCTGCCTCTGTGCACAGGTGAACCCCAAATCTCTGATTCGGCATCGCTAGGAATAAAACCTACATTCCGGTCTCTGTCTGTTTCCTGAATATCTCTTTTTCAGTTACCTCAGGAAGTCAGAGGGAGAAATGATAAATTATCATACCTCAAAACCCTGATAAATAATTCATTGGAACTAAAGAACAAAATAAATAGCTGTGTCTTCTGCACTAAAGAGAAATATGATTAGAAATATACATGAAAAAGGGTCAGTGGCTCTGTATTCAAACATCATGTGTGGGGCTCTTGATGAACAGGTGTCTAGGGTGTGCCATCTCCTAGTTCACACACCTAGGGGTGGACTTCCATGGGAGTCTAGGAGGCCTGAGATGCACCCTGAAAGAGGGGTATCCTTGAGAGACAAAATCAGCTTAGTAGTTGAAGAAGAAAGCATGATTTATTATAACCTAGCAATGGGTGACGTTTGTGAATCTCGGCTAATCACTAATGAATGCAGATGATCAAGTGCACAAAGCATTAAGAAGAAAGATGTTTTAGCTTTCCTGACTCCAGAGAAGTGTGCCACATTCATGCCTGAAATATGATGCAAACAGATGCAAATATGCAGAGACAGAGAAAAATATTAGCAGAAGCAGCAGCCATCAGGCTAAATGACTTTTTGCTTTAGGAAACAGAAGATTATAATGATGAAAAGGGTGACCAGCCAAGCATGGAATCAAAGGAAGGAATTTCCAGGGTCACCAATATAATTTTACCTGAAGTTCTTTTCCTGAGAAGGACAGATCTATACTACCCTTATGGAGGGGGCACCGAGACTCAACGCAGTGATAATCACACTAAAATTAGCCACCTACCTGCCTAAATTAACTTGTAACATACCAAAGGTTGTTCCAAATATTCTAAAATTATTTTCATTTCCAAAATCCCAAACTAAAGACACTGTTACTGTGAATATAACACACCTGAACCAGGTGGATGCTATGAAGTCATATAGGTGCTGTCCAGTACGGAGTTCTCTTAAAGGAATTCACCTGATAACTAGTAACAGACTATCCTTAAAGAAGTTTGCCCAGATCACGAGTTACACAAACACCTGGCACTTAATTAGCATTTGAACAAGGCCTGAGCCCAAACAAAACTACCCAGTAAGTCAATTTAGCATAATTATATAAAGTCTCTTTAAATCTTAGATGGTCAGTTCCATTTTCATTTTGCTCTTTCATACGACAGAACTTATATATTTATAAAGCTAACATCTACCAAGTAGCCAGGGTCTGAAAATCCATTAAAGTAGCATATTATGCTGTGTTAACGTTTCTATTCACAACCTAATGGTTTATTAATTTAGTGTTCATCCTTAAAGGTTTTTAGTAAACCCAGAGAGTATTTTGCCTTGGGAACAAAAACTCAATTTATCGCTCTGTAAGTCTTAAATAAGTATTATTTTGAGGTACAAATCATCTCTACTAAAATGAAAAAATACATGTTGCATTAATCTATACTAGAGAGACAATATTCTACTCAGAAGACACTCTTTTAATTTGCTCACCTTAGTAGACTTCAGCGTGAGATAGCTATATTTATGTCTAGTGTACACAGACATTCTATGCAAATCTACATGCACAATCACATTCATATATTTTAAAAAGAGTGATAGAAACTTAAGAGCATGATGAGTGAGATTAAATAAACTCCCAAGGAATACTACTGAAACTGTATTACTCACCATCAAATTCTGCTGGTCCGACACCAACTATAATTATTGACATTGGAAGTTTTGAAGCCTTTGAAGAGAATACACAATGAGTTCACAATTAAGAAACTGAGTTAAGAAAAGAATTAAGGTTTGAGAAAAAATTAATATCCAGTTTTAGTTTATATTTTTCACAGCTGTTCATTAAAGTAGTTTTGAACATATTTAAAAATAGCACAGAATAATATACTTAATTCCACTCTTATGCCTTCCCAACTCTGTACTTATGCTAATTCAGTGGGACATTCTTCAGGAATGACCAGCCTTGGATAATATAAAGAGTGAAAAGTATTGAGCTTCAGCTCTCACTTGCTACTATCAGCCCAACCTACCTCAGATAACCTTGGGTGTCCTTGGTCTCTCTTTTTTCATGCTCTCTCTCCTCTAAAAACTCTTTCAGTTGCTGAAAGGGGAAAAGGGTCCCATATTTGTGAAACAGTAGCACTCTATTCTACCTCATTCATACCCAAGTGAAGGAAAAGCAATTTGCGTAGCAAATAAGGCAATATACATGATAATTACAGAAAGTTATTATTATATGATTAATTTATGTATTAAATATCCATGAGATTGTGCAGGGCACCGAATATTTTATGGCATATTTTCTCAGTATATGTATCACTTAAATGACATCATCACTTTAAATAATTTAACGATAAAAATGTGAGATCTAGCAACAGATAGATTCACTACTATAGCAACCACATCTTCATCTATGAAGGTCATTGAATTATAAATAATTGTTCCTCAGTGCATCATGTCCTGTTAGTTTAAATTATTAAGCCCGTATTTTAAAGTGCATGCTAATGCCACTGACCAGAACATTAAGGAAATCAAGATAAATTGAACCCACGTTTCTAGTCTAAAAATAAACATATGAACCTGTACTCCTCCTCTTCATGTTTAGTTTTTCTAAGTATGTGTCTATAAAGCATTTGATATTTTCCCTATGTGAAACTATTTTTCTCACACCAAATAGCTAATTATATTTTCTTATGCTATTAATAATTATGAGGTATGACAAACATTCATGCAAACCATTTTTACTAAATGTCTACTGTGTGCCAAACATTGACTGCTAAGCCTGGATGTAGAAAGGGGAATAAAAATAGAAATAAGTTTAATAATTATAATCTAGTAAATGTAGATTTTATAGGTTATAGCCTAATAAAGAAGACAATCAAATGATCATTAAATAAAACAATTAGGAATTATAATGAGAAAAATGGTTTTGAATCAAATCCAGCTCCTATCCAATTCTACAGAAAAAGAAATTAGCAAAGTTCTCCCATAACTGAAATGTGAATATTAAAAAATATTTTGTACAAATTTTACAATTTATACAAGTACATCAAACTAATAGAGATAAATACACTCATGCACATGAAGGTAGTGCTATTATCTTATTTATTTATTTCTTTTTGGAAATAATTTTGTTACAACTCCGTGTGGACCCTTAGCTTAGGCCTCGTGGATTAATGGTACAGATGCAACTGAGTTGCCTGGATAGGGTTAAGAATGCAACTGGCCCCAAGGGCATGGGCATTTTGTTTCACTGTGAAGTCAACTAGACCCTGGTCTCAGCCTGAATAGCACCATGCAGCCACTTAGCCAGGCCAAGACTGAACAACTCTTACTTACGTTAACTATAGACTCCTTTGTTTGAGCCATATCTGAGATAACACCATCTGTCACAATCAGGAGCACAAAATACTGGGAGCCATCCTTTACAGAAGAAGCATATCTGAAAGGCAACAAGAAGGTTAAAAATTACCACAGAAAATAAAACAGTTCCTCTGTATGCAATGGTCACTAAATATAATTTGGAATAGTCAACAAACTCTTTAATCTCAAGAGAGTATTTAAGTATATGTTAGGGGCCTATACCATGCAAACTCTCAAATACACATTTTCCTGCAATAGCACACTGGAATAACAGCACTATTACTGCACGTTGGCACTCAGAAATGTCTGGCACCTTAGAATTTATTTACTAATAAAAGGTGAACTGGATGGGGTATGTTTAGCACAGTGGAATGGATAGAACTATTGGAAATAGACATTCTGGCTAAGCAACATATTATGTGTATGATCTTCAGGAAATTAGTTAAGCTATTTGAACTTTATTTTCTTAGTCTTAAAATTAAGATAATACACCTTTGTATTGTTAATAATTAAACTGCATGCGTGCTACTCAATATATAATACAGTTCCATAAGTTAGCAATAACCATAAGTGCTTTTTGTTTTGGAACTATGCAGAGTTGATGGTTGCACTACATTGTGAATGTGTTCAATGTCATTAAATTGCAGTTTTAACCATTAAAACTCTAAAATGGTTACTTTTGTGTTATGTGAATTTCATCTGAATAAAAAAAAATGCAGCAGAAGAAAAGCTTTTTGAAACATTCGTAGTTCAAGTTCTTAACACAAATTAACAAAAGCTGGGACAAAAACACAAAAATTAGGCATGTTAGGCCATAAAAGAGAAGGGAATCTAACTTTTTTTGACAGCATGGATAGACCTGGAGAGTATTATGCTAAGTGAAATAAGCCAGTCAGAGGAAGACAAACACCATATGATTTCGCTCATATGTGGAATCTAATGAACAAAACAAACTGACAAAATAGAAACAGACTCATAGATACAGAGAACAGACTGAGAGCTGTCAGAAGGGGCTGGCTGAAAAAGGTGAAGGGATTAAGCAAAAAAATTAAAAAATTCATAGACACAGACAACAGTGTGGTGATTACCAGAGGGAAGGGGGTGAGGGGGAGGCAGAAGAGAGTAAAGGGGGGTAAATGGTGGTGGAAGGAAACTTGACTTGGGGTGGTGAACACAATATAATATAAAGATGATATATTATAGAATTGTACAACCAAAACCTATATAATTATATTAACCAATTGCCCCAATAAAATCAATAAAAAATGAGGTCAGTTATTCCCCCCCAAAATTAGGCATGTAATAACAACATAGCACTTAAAGAAGTTTATCAAAAGTCTCACCAAATAATACTCAGTCATTTATAGGGAAATTTTATGAATACGTTATATTTTATTATATCTTTTATTCCATTAAGTTGTGCATTCTGTGTATCTAAATTATATGCTGAACAAGGAAACTTTTATGATCTTTACTACATAAATAGATGCAAGTCCTATCTAGTAATGAGCAAGCATTATGGTAATCTTAAGAGATAGTAATCAAGAAGACTTTGGTCCATTTCTGTAAAAATCATTGAGTGAATTATAAAAAATTTGGTTCAAAAAAACTTCCTTCAATTACCAATGAAATTCCTTTACAGTCTAAAGGATCCTAAGGAAGCAAGTTTGAACAGATTGGGAACAGATCAATAGCATTATATTTTAGGGCAAAACTTATTTCTTGGAGAGCAGAATTAATTACCACATGAACAAAAAAATATTTACCACTTTGCTGTAGACTCGAGAAACTATTAATTGCTCATACTACTAATAAAATAATTTTACAGATTAATGAAGAGACTACAGCAAGTGGTCTGTTCACCCCCTGTAAAGATACAGTTGAACTGGGTCCACAACATATAGTCAAAAATATTCCCACAATATTGAACAATTGATCTTGAACATTAAAAATTTGTACTAATTTGATGTTAACACAATCAATGGAAAACACCCAAAGCAGATACGAGCCTCTTCTATTTTACCCTTAACTTTTTTCTTAAAAAAAGAAGTTGATACTCTCCCTCAGGAATTTGTTTTTTTAATTTTTAAATACCCATTATTTTTTCAAAAGCTTTTCTTACTGACTGTGCTTCAGAAACATTGGGTTTTATATTTCATGTGATTAATGGAAGGCTATAAATAGTAGTGAGAAAAGCTTCTATCAGTACGACAGTCAGGATTTTATACTTTTCTTTCTCCAGGATGCTCTTAAATGACAAATTTCTACCAGGTTCGAAAACAATTAAAAAAGTTCAGTATTATGCAGTCATAAATACGGCTTCAGATGGCTTAATGGTCTGGTTTGTTTTTTTGGTCTTTACATTTCTCTTTCAATGCTTCTGGTTAACCGTGGAGAAAGTCTCAGTTGTTAGTATGTGTCTCCCTGCCCCCCAGTTTGAGTTATAATTGGTATACAGAAAACTGCACATAATTAATGTATACAATTTGATGAGTTTGAACATGTATATACACTTGTGTTACTGTCAAAACAATCAAGATAATAAATACGTCCCTCACTCCCCAAAGTTTCTTTGTGTCCTTTGTGTGTGCTTATATATTTAGATTTAGGTGGATACATATTTGTAATTATTATAACTGCGAATTAAGCCTTTTAAAACTGTTTATTCTTTTTAATAAAAACTGTACTTATCTAAGGCGTACACCGTGATGATTTGATATACATAGTGAAACGATTATTACAGTCAAGCTAATTAACATATCCTCACATAGTTTCCATATTTTTTTTGCGATCAGTGCACCTGAAATTTACTCTCTTAGCAAATTTCCAGTTTTCAATACAGTATTATCTATAGTAATCATGCAGCACATTAGATCTCTAGACATACTTATCCTACATAAAGCAATTTTGTACCCTTTGACCAATATCTACCCATTTTCCCTCCTCCCCAGCTTGGTAACCACCGTTCTACTCTCTGCTCCTATGAGTTCAACTTTTAAAAATTCCACCTATAATTGAGATCATGCAGTTGTTTTCTTTTTGTGTCTGGCTCATTTCCTCTACCATAGCATCCTCCAGGCTCATCCATGTTGTTGCAATTGGCTGGCACTTCTTTTTTAAGGCTGAATTATATATATAAATATGTATCTTACGTAAATTGACCATTTTATTCTATAATGACCGTCTTTGTCTCCTGTGACAGTTTTTAACTTAAAATCTACTTTGTCTGATATAAATATAGATACTCCTGCCTGTCCTCTTTTGGTTGCCATTTGCATAGAATATCTTTTTTCAGCTTATGTAGGTCCTTAAATCTAAATTTAGTTTCTTTTTTGTTTTAGAATATATCTTTATTGATTTCAGAGAGAGGAAAGGAGAGGGAGAGAGAGAGAGAGAAGCTTCAGTGACGAGAGAGTCATTGATCGGCCGCCTCCTGCACGCCCCCTGCTGGGGGTCGAGCCCCCAGCCCGGGCATGTGCCCTGACGGGAATCGAACCACGATCTCCTGGATCCTAGGCCGACGCTCAGCTGCTGAGCCACGCTCAGCCGAGCTAAACTTAGTTTCTTATACANAATGCTCAGCTGCTGAGCCACGCTCAGCCGAGCTAAACTTAGTTTCTTATACACAGCATATAGTTGGGTCTTGTTTGTTTTTAACCATTCACTGACTCTGTCTTTTGACTGGGGGTTAATCCACTTATATTTTGGTTTCCATTAAAAAGTATACCAAAAAGAACAGGGGTGATATGTTCATAATACCAAGACAGTCAATGCTAGATCCTGAAGCAGATAGCAAACTAGGAATTTCTCTGAAGTTTGTTGTTTTGTCTTAAAATTCATAGGAATTTTGTATTTTATTTTATAATAAATATGTCTTGTATTACTATTTTTCAACTTTGGGGAAATTAATGCTGAAGAAAGATGCATGAGTTTATTGTGTTCTCACTTCTGCTAAGATACACTGCTTTGAAAATAAGATACATTTTACATAAGAACTATTCAATCCATTTTTATCTTTATTACCATCAGCACCATAAATTATTTTAAACTATTCCTTGTTTTTATGGCATTTGTTCTACACATTCTCATATTGTTGCCCTTCGCAAGCAATCTAAAATTCAAACAAAATCTTATTTTGTACTAAAAGTATTGTGTTTATAAAAAAAATAATTAAAATGCTATAGAAATGTAGAAATAGAAAGCAAAAGCTGATCACATCCCAGTCTTCAAAAAGGTAACCCTGATATTCAGACTTGCAGATTCAAATTATATTTTAAACTATTAAAGAAGCTTATTTCGTAAAGGAACTTAATGATTAATCCTTTTGTAAATTGCATAATTGAAACTCTTACTGAGAGCCTGCTGTCTTTTTTCAAATGTAGGATAGCTATAGTTTTTATTTTAATATTATTATGACAAATCTGAGGGAGAAGTCAACTTCATCAGGATTTTAGAATTCAAACACGTTTCTTTGGACTCTGTCAAGTAAGTTTCTGGGATTGTTTTTATAAAATCATAAATGGTTGGCTCAGATTTGTGAAATATTCTTTCAGCTCATAACTAGTTCACAGGAATAGAGGGGGCAATAAAACAAGGTAAGAAACTGACTAAGAAATATTTTATTTAAATAGTTTAATTTTGACATACACAATGAATTAAATCTTAATATGAAATAAAGGGATGCATTTCAATAGTTCAATACAAAGTAACAACATGACTTTTTATGTCGCTACGTTGCACCCAAACTATTTTTGGCGGTATAAGGAAGTGACCGGCTGCATCCACGTGATTAGTAGTTTTGTTGCGCTTTCTTTTGAACGTCTTTACCTCTGTATGAGAGAAAAAGATTCAAGCACGCAAGGCACCATAACACGGTAATTTGGAATCAGATTATTTTGTTGGAATTTTAGTTCCACCACAAATGGCCACTCTACATATCTACTTTGTCATCAGGAAAATAGGAATAACAACACTATTGCCCCCTTTTACAGTTGTTTAGATTAAAAGAAATAAACCACATTGTAGCACTGAGCATATTGCCTGAGACAGATTTGGGGCTCAATAATGACTGTCATTTTGATTTTATTATTATTGATGAACAGATGAAAGAGATAAAACAGACCACATTCTTTAGATTAATTTTTAAAATAGTAATGAAAATTCCAAAATATACAAATGTTATCTCCTAAAAAATAAAAATAAATTTTAGCTGATTATCAGGATCCTTGATCTTTCTCAATATCAATAAATAAATAAATAAATAAATAAATAAATAAATCTAGCCAATAGTTAAAAATTGATAGATCCTTTGTAAAAACTGGAATGTGACAGCCTCAAAAAAAGTAGCTGGTTATGCAGAGAAAACAAATAACAGTTAGGAAACAATGAATATTATTTAAGTCAAATGAAAAAAATAGTGATATTTTCATGATAGATTGAAAAAAGAATTGATATTGGTTTATTAGTTATTTTTTAATATTATTTTTTAATAACTAATAAACTGGTCAAATATACCAATAAAATGGTTTTTGAATAATTTAAAATTATTGAGGTAGAATTCTAGATAAAAATTAAACCTTTGAAAAAAATGACCCGAATAAGAATGTAAACATGGCAATTGCCATATCCAAAAGGAAACAGATTAATCAAGGGATGAATAAATCTCTATTTTCTCAAACCACATATCTATGAACACATGATTTCCTTCACATTTTCTTCCTACCATTATTAATTAATGAGGTTTAAACACAGTGTTACAGGCATTAGGTATATTATTAAGTTCATATATGAAAGGATCGAAAAGTATTTCTCTGATTTTATATTTGGTTTCAACATAATGGTAGTACTCTTTTTTCTTTTTTTTTTGGTAGATGTGATAGTTAGTCTTATGTGTCAAGTTGGCTAGGCTGTAATATCCAATTATTTAGCCAAACATTAATCAAGGTATTGCTGTGAAGATATTTTATAGATGTAGTTAACATCTACAATTAAATGACTTTAAGTAAATAAAATTACCCTTGCTAATGCGGTGGGTCCCACTAAATCAGTTGAAGGCCTCAACAACAAAAGGAATTCTGACACAAGACTGCGGCAATATCTAATCCTGCCTGAGTTTCCAGCCTACCAGCTTTCCCCACAAATTTCTGACTTGCCAGCACTTACCAATTCTTTAAAATAAATCTCACTACCTATATATCCTATTGGTCCCATTTCTCCTGCGAACCCTGACTGATATAGTAGGTACCAATCCAATTACATTTCCCACAGCTCATTAAGACTGACTAAGCATTATCATTAATAGTTTCTTTAGTTTCCTAATTATAACCTTATTAAATATACTCATTAGATATGGCATACAAAACATTCAGTTAAACACATAGATGTGGAGTTCTGGGTGTAGGCAAAGTGTGGTGAGATTAAATCACAATTCCTCCCTTCAGTTTTGAAAAGCTCTGTATGCAACAAGAGAGCAGGATGGAACTAGTGAGAGCCGTGGCAGGCAAACGTGGAATGACACCACTGACCAGGACAGCGACTCTAAACTCGAAGCGCAGCCCACGCGGGAGAACGCGGAGAGCACTGGGGTTGGGTGGCAGTTTGATCTTAAAAGTTCCTGAATACCAAACAAAAGCATTTGAACTTAGTTTTGTGACAGGCATCAATGGATATGAGTAGCATTTTTTTTTACATTATTTGAAATGCTGTTCCAGACAACTGTATGAAATGAGGAGTAGAAAGGCAAGAAATTAGAGGTAGGGGTTTGGAAATAGTTTCACAATTTGATGCCTTGGGTCTTGACTAGTTCACAATATTATCTCATTAATATTATCTCAAAAGTCAATAGTCTTATGACATAGATTTTAGTTCTAAAAATAAGCATATGATTAAAATTATTATTTTAAAAAAATAATAAGTAAGCATTCATCAAAATGCTTATAGGAAACTATTATAAATAACTAAGCTTTACCAATAAACATCCTTTTTTAAAGGGAAAAAAAAATCAAGCAAGTAAGTAAGGATATGCATTTGCTTTTGACTTTAGAGAAAATAATTTTTAATGATAAATATCTTCACATACTTACCTCCATATGCTGGCAAAGTGAAGTGCTGTTGAAATGCATTTACTAGTGACAAAATGCACACGGAATTTTACACAGGGGTCATACACACTCTAACCATGGCACTACTCTTGATTTAGAAACAAATAGTAACTTGCCTTTTAGTTGATAAAACTTTTTGGATGATAAATCTGGACCAGACAGAAACTATGTCTTAATAAAAGCTTAAAAATAAAATTAAACAAAACTATCAAAGATGAAAGAAAGGAAAAGACATTTCTTATACAGAAGGCATAACAAGAAATAGATACATGTAACTTCTAACTGTACTGGAAGGGAAGAGATGATTCCCCAAAAGCCTTATCTTTGTGTTTCTTATTTTCTCTTATTAAAAAATAGCAATAAAGAATTATTAGATCACAGATTATTTTCTTTCCTTTTTAAAGATTTTTAAATTGATTTTTACAGAGAGAAAGAGAGGGAGGAAGACGGAGGGAGAGAGAGACATCGATCCGTCGCCTCCTGCACGCCCTGACCAGGGTTGAGCCTACAACCTGGGCATGTGCCCTGACTGGGAATCGAACCAGCAATTTGATTCCTAGGATGCAGCCCAACCAACTGAGCCACACTGGCCAGGGCAATCACGGATTCTTTTCAAAGAGGCTGAAACCGTTAGCTGGCAACTACACCTATAATTGAGAATTTTAAAAGTGCTGGACCAAACATAAAAAATGGTAATGTGGAGCCTGTAGTTTTAAATGGTATATAGAAATGCACCTAGACATTTTTACATCTAAAAGCTTAGCTTTTGTAGTAGAGATATGCAGGGACAAAAAAACAAAACAAACTTAATTGGTAAGCACGGATGAGAAGCATCTATAACAACTAGCATGAGTTCAGACAAAATAAGGCCTATCATTTTTTCTCTTATTTTTGTATATAAAACAGTAATCTGTATGGTAGTTTGTGATAGAAAGAGTAAAAGTCAACTAGAATTTATCTTGCATTACTGTTATTTTGATTCTGCTTTACTGGACAGCCATAAAAAACACCAGGAGAACAGAGTACAGATAACACTGCTAATACAAAGCTAATACAATAAGCTAAGATGTGTTTTTCAAATTACAGGTAATAACCTATTAGTGGACTTTGAAATCAGTTTTGTGGGCGAAGACCTGCATCATAAAAAAAATGACACCACGGAAATAAGAAAATATGAGGTAAGGATAAGTATTATTTCATAATATTTTTTATGTTGTATGTTGAGATGTAAAATTTATAACTTAGTACAGATTGTGGATAAAAAGGTTCAAAAAACCTAAGTTAAAGAGTCACACTCAGAGAACGGTCATCGCTGTATCACTGTCACACTGAGGTGGAGTTCCACAGCAGAGGTCCACTGGGGTTAGCCCTGGGTGCAGGGTTATTTAGCATCTTCTCTATGTCCCAGATAATGAAGAACAGAACACATTTAAGTTGCTTATGATGTCCAATAGGAACGTGGTAAAGTACCAGAACCTTCAAACAGAGAACTGAGGTTTCACATTGCCTTTGTGCACCGATAAACTGATCAAATGCAGTAATTTTTCAAGTGCTGGCTACATATCAGAAAGAATACAAAAGCTATAATTTTTTGATCATCTAAAAATTAGGCAAGGTTTCATAAGATTTGCAACTGGGTCAAGCCAAACTTGTAAGTATTTCAAAAGTGGTGTCTAATTTATTTATGCACTAATGAAAAAATGATTAATGTATGTAGGATTTTACATATTCCCAGAACATGTACTTGGAATCATAAGCAACTATATGCTGATCTCAATACTATATATTATACACGAGTAGAGAGCTCTGGGAATTTAGAACATTAACTCTTATATTAATTTCAGGGAGGTAAAAATGATGTGCCCTATAGATCACTGAAAGGAATAGTGATCTTCATGGAATTCAGTTCCTTATTGCTTCTACGCTCCTATGGAATGTGATATTAGATTGAATAATTTACACAGTTGAGATCACGATTAATCTTGTTATTGCTCTCATGAATGCCTTTTCTAAGAAAAGAAATTTTCTTTGGTTGAACAAATGCAGGTCCTAACATAATCCAGTGTATGTTTCTTCACTTGAGATTTTGATGTAAAGTTTTTGGGTAAAGTATCATCAAAGTTCATTGAGACTTTCTCCTGTATTTCAACATTTACCTTGCTTTTTTGGAGGTAAATTAGAAGAAAAAACTTTCACCTGCGAGGCCATACTGACAATAATGTGATGATTTCACTGTGGTCTGGTACGCTAGAAGAAATACCTGGTGTACTTCTGCTTACCTTGCTACGTGATTAATTACAGGAGCAAAGTTGGTTGGCCCATATAGCTGCACAGACTTCAGGCTCCTATAATAAGCCTCCATCACGCCCTCAATGCCATCACAGTAGGGGTTTTGAGGGTTCCCATTCTGTACAACACCACAAGCAAAAGACAGTAAAAAATTAACAGTGTCTGTAAAGATCAACTGGAAAAAGAGAATAATAAACATTGATACTCATAAAGAATTTTTGGAAGAATACCCATTTATATATTTATATCTGCAAAAATTAAGTGGTCAATAGTAGATTGCAATGTATTATGTAGATGGTGATATAATAGAATGTGCACAATAATTAAAAATTGATACTTTTCAACACAATGGCAGGAGGAGAGTCTAAATAATCTTGAGAAGCTGAATATCACATTCTGTAATTAATAATGTCTTAATTTTACACAGGTCTGTGTACATGTGGGGATGAATATAGAAAAATCCTATAAAAAATAAAATAAAATATTGGATAGTTAAGTTAACTCTGAGTGGTTATATAACTGGGGACTTTTTATTTCACTCTTTAAATAACTCTATATTTTCCAAGTTGCATGCAGTTATATATTAAAATTAGGAAAGAAATGCCATCTGGTCAGTTTCCCCTTATAGTAAGAAAAATGTAAGATATCTGCCACTGCACATCTTCAGGCCACACTTGACAACTCCAACTGGGCAAGGAGTCAGAAGGAATGTAATTTGGTGTCAGAAATATCAAGACAAGGTAAAATGAAAAGAATCAAAGAAACATATCCATGCTGTTCCAGGGCGATGGAGCTTGCCACCATGGAGCTATTCCGAAAGAGAGCATCCACAAGGGCAGCTTTAAACCTGGGGGCCTGGTCTAGCTTTTTCATACATTGAATGCTCTGTTATTATTAGGTTTAATTCTCCTGGTCCAGATTCCACAGATAACACAAAGAAGGCAGTGCATTAGCTATCTATTTCTATATAACAAATTATCCCAAAAGTTAGTGGCTTAAAACAAGCATTTATTATCTCACACATTTTCGGGGTGTCAGGAATCCAAGAGCAGCTTAGCTAGGTGGTTCTTGCTAAGAATCTCCCATGAGTTTGCAGCAAGAAGCACACCTGGGCATCTGAAAGGTTGGCCACAGCTGGAGGATCTGCTTCCAAGAAGGCTCATTTATAGGACTGCTGAGGGGAGGCCAGCAAGGACTCTAGGGCTGCTTGAGTGTTCTCACAACATGGCAGCTAACTTCCCCAGAATGAACAATCCAACCGAAAGAGCAAGGAAGAAGTCCCAATCCCTTTATAAGCGTCTCATATGCTGCGTACCATTACTTCTACTTTAATCTATTTGCTAGAAATGAGTCACTAAGTATAGTTCATATTCAAAGGAAGGGGAATTCGGCTCCACTTCTGGAAGGGTGGGAAGAGATATAAATAAAATTTGTGGATATATTTTAAAACACTAAGGACAGTAATGATATTTAAACATAGCAGTAATTTTAGCATGCATGGTTTTGTTGGAACAATCAGAAGTAACTGCTAATTTATAACTAAAATTTGTTGACTTCTGTATACTAAGCTTTACATGAAAATATTTACATACATTATATAGTTTTTTATAACAACCCTAAAAATGTAGATAAAATAGTGTCATTTTTTCCACTTTACAGATGAGGAAACTAAGGCACTGAGAGCCTAAATAATGAGCCCCAAAGTCACACAACGTATGTGAAAGAGCCAATATTTGAACCCACGCAGTCTAACTCCAGGACCCATTCTCTTCACCACCTCTACGCAACCATGTGATGAAATCCTAAGCATGCTGAAATACTGGGGATCTTAAGAGACTAAGATTATCAATCATCAATTTTGCCACCTGTGAGAGAAAAAATTATACCCATATTTTCCTTTTAATTTTGCTTTTTTTCTTCAAACTTTTTATTAACTAAACCTCCTGTAAATTTTAAAAAACATAAAACTAATCAAAGAACTCTTTATATTATAAAATTGGTTGCAGCAGATTGAAATTAAAATGTAAAAGTTTAATATTTAGCACAAAGCAGTTGATGGTGGTTTTGATGTTAATCTGAGCTGACCTACTTAACCTTCCTTTAAGTAAAATCTTACAGTGTTCTTTTCCCTTGATGAGGTATGAAGCTAATTAAATTTAAACTCATTCATTTTGGGCATTAAAATGTATTATATATTTTCCTTGAGGGAACAATTATAAACAAGAATAATTCTGATCTTTACAAACCAGGGTGATTCTGAGCTTTTTGTCTAACATTTGAGTGGGGGTTTATATTTCTATAAAACTATATATTTCCTCTATTCCTCTGGAATTGGAATTACAAGGTCACCATTTTTCTCATCATTTCAGTTTTCTTAGTGGAGAGATAATCATTGGATGTTCTCTTCATCACTATGGAATATCTGCAGCACTGACTTCTGTATTAGTTCTAATTCTATAATAAATTACCCTAAGATTTCCACACATGCCTTGGATGATAATACTTTATTATGTACAATTATACATTCTTTTAAATATGTGCCTTGCATTACATCAGGATTATTTTAAATAACTTATGACTATTCAAATGAGATTTTCCTCTTAATGACAACATTGTAATGAGTTATTAAATGATTTTTAAAGTCTTTTTAAAAACTCATTTCTTAAAATAATTATGTTGGGAATTAGTTCTTGCTTGTTAAAACAAATTAAAATAATCTTATATGTGGATCCAGCACAAAAACACAGGCCATTTTTCAAAGTAAGAGCATTCAATTTTGTCTTAATAAATGAAGACAACAATGGATGCTCTATTTCATACTTCCTTTTTAATTAACAACTTTCCCATTTATAAAATAATGAATGTCAATTTGTAGAGCACATAGAAATTTACAGAACAGAATTCAAAATGAGCAATCATCCCACTGTGCAGATTTAAGTGGGGAGGGTTGCCCAGCTCTCACCCACTTGGCTCCCTAAAAGATTGTAACTGGGGAGTTAGATTCAGTTCTGGGCAAGCAGCCTATAGTCTCTATTGTTACCTATAGCCTATCATACTTTCCAGCAGGGCTAATACACTGACAAAATGCTCTCAGGAGCTGCTGCTTTACCCTTTGAAATGTTAACTGTCGCTGCCCTGGGATTGCTCACTGTGGGGAGAAGCTGGGAGAATTCTCCCTTTTATTCAATAAACAAACATCTACTGAACTGCTAGTTTATGCAAACAGTGGTAAAGACCCTTGATAATTAAACTGTTATGTCTAGTTGAAAGAAAAGGCATACGCATAGATATTAAATTGCAGAGATACCTATAAATGCCAAAATAAGTGAAAAGCATTCAAGTTCTTTCAGATATTTGGTAGGAGAGCATGCTTGGACACATTTGGCATTTCTGTGTTGACCAATGCAAAGACCCTCTGGGAAGGATCACTGGCCACACGCCTATTAGAAATACTTCCTCTAAGGCCCTGCACTATTGTATTTGCAGTTACAGCTCCATAAGGAGTCATCAAGAATCACGAAGAGATGAGAGCGATGACTGGTCGTTTTCAACCAAAAGTGCTTAGCCTGGTGATACCAGGCATTTTCCCTTTCTTTTCACATTTCCTTTTCTTATCCAACTACATTCATTCTTGTACATATTTCACGTGGAAAGCCTGGGTTTACCTGAGATCTTTTTGATTCGGCAAAGCTCAATTTCAGCATTTGAGCCAACCCCAAACTCACCAAATAGGAAGCATTTAAGTTTTTAAAAGGCCTTGCTTGCCACTTGAAAGGTTATTTGAACTTAGTGCTGCTGAAAAGATTAATGGTTGCAAAGATGCATCACAATTCTTACCATGGAAACCTGAGAGTTTGTGGACATTAGGTGATACGTGAAGTGCTGGACTGACAGGGGACTGAAGTTTTTGTATTTGTATTTTGGGCACTTATAGAATATATACTGCAGTTATTTATGACGAGGTTAATACAGAATACATTAGCACAAATCAAGACAAGTGCTCACTGAAAGCTTATTTAACCCCTGTGCGGTTTACTTTTCCAAGAAAATAAAAGTGCTTTGAAAAAAATTAAAGTGATATAACAATTAAGTAATATTAAAATTGAAGCATTACCATCATCATCACCACCACTGTTTTCATCATTCATTTGGAAGTCTATTTTTCCTAAATTTAAAGGGGTAGGACTCTATCCTATAAATATTTGAATTGGGTTGAAAGACGAGTTCAAGATACAAATAAGGAAAAAAGGCTTCCTGAGCAGTAGTTATTTGCATAGCTTTGGTTACAAAGAATAAATGTAGAGGTAATAAAAGCAAAAGGAAGAGAGGATTAGAGGGAGAGAGAAAGGAAGAAAATCTTACACAAGGGTGAGAGGACACTCATGGAAGGAAAATTAATAAACCTCATTTAGTTTAACATAATTATTCCTTTTCTTAGGCTTAAAATAGCTCGTGACCTTTTTCCTGAGGCACTTAAGACTTAGGATCACATGAGTGATTTTCATGGTCTTATAAGTTTCTGGGAAGTTTTAATTCTCCCAGAAACAAAATCCTAACAGACAGTTTTTTTATATGACATTGGGAGTATGGCACGTAGGCTATTTTGTGCAAGAAAGAATTAAACCCTACAGTAACCTTTTCTGAAACTGTGTGGGTGATGGAACAGAAAAGCAAAGATAAGTACAGCAATACAAATATTAAAATATTGTTCTTAAAATATATATTTAAGAAAATGAAACATCACTTCAAAGCTTCAGAAATATATATATGTATATATATGTGTGTGTGTGTATATATATGTGATGGTGTTAATAAAGCACATTTCTGAGCATAGTATTACAGGTATTTTATAAATACTGTGGCTTAGTAGTGGTTAAGAGGATGGATTCTAAAATAAGACTGATTTGGGTTCAAGTCCTGTCCGTTAGAACCCTGGTTAAAGCCCCCAGCCTCAAAGCTGAGTTATATAACTCTTGAGTACATGCTTTTTACCATATTTGGTATGAGTGGTGCTTGCTAGAGCGGCGTAACGTGACAGCTATATATACCTATCACACAGAAGTTTTATGAAGGTTAAATAAGAAAATGAATATAAAGCACTTAGATTCATACGCAGTAATTACTTAGTAAAGGTAGTATTATTTTTGTGTATTTTTCTTGCAGAACTTCAAAAATCCCTATCATGTCCATGTATTGCTTTTGTAATAAGAATCAAAACAACAAAGACCTACAAAAATATGGGTGACGGGAGAATTTATCTACCTGCTACAACAGGCAGTGTAGGCTAGGGGTATAGATACCTTTATTGGAAAACCTAAATTTTTTCCAAAACAATAGCTCATCATCTTATACTGATTTCTTCATTATTTATCAGAAAGTGCAGGTGAGCGTAAAGCTGGCGGGGCCGATCAGCTTTATCTGGGGGAGTCTATTTTGAAGGTAGGCTGGAGCACACTGCTCATCTGCAGTCACACAAATGAAAGTAGATCTATGCAAATGAAACATTAACGAGGGAAATATTTTCATTCCAATCAGATCTACTCCAGTATATTTAAATCTTAATTAATTATAGCCATAAGCGCTGCTTCACATTTGAAAAAATTAATTCCAGCCATGACTAGTCCTTTAAATTTGAAATGCCATTTCAGAAGAGGCCATTTACAAGATTTATAAATCAGATGCATTTTAGGAAGATTAAAAATAGTCCCACATTCTTTGATCTGCCTCCTATTGAGAATGAAAAGTTACTTTTTCTACCTTGAAACTGGGCTGGTCTTAGTGACTTGCTTGACCAAGAGGATGTGGCAGAAGGAAAGTTCTGGGACTTCCAAAGCTGTGGTAAAAAGAGCCCTGCAGCCTCTGCCCCAGCCTTTCAGCAACTCTGAAGAAGCTAGTTGTCATGTAAGACATCTGACTACCATGAGACCACCGTACTGAGGAAGCCACGACAACCGCATGGAGAGGCTGTGTGCAGGGAGACGGGAAGATGTCCAGGCAAGCCAGCTATCTCAGCCATCCCAGCTCAGACATCAGACACGAGCAAGGCAACCATCGTAGGGAGCCTGCTGTCCCCAGGGGACAGGACACGGAGAGCAGAGGAATCCAACTGACAGCCAGAATCAAGGATATGGCTCCACCTGAACAATTCCAGCCATCTCAAGCCATTCAGGCCATCCCAGGGGAGGTCCCAAATGTTGCAAAATAAATAAATTAATTAAATAAATAAATAATAAATAAATAAATAATAAATGAAACAGTGAAGCATCCCCCATTGTATTCTCCTTGAATTCTTGACCCTCGAGTTATGAACATAAGAGAATGGTATTGGTTTACATCTCAGACTTCTAGGGAGTTTTGCTATGCAGCAATAGAAAACCACAATAGACCCCCTATTTATAAATCAGATGCACTTTAGGTAGATTTATTGCTAATCTATTTAACTGTCTTAGTTTCCATTAATACCACACTCCTAAATCAATCATTTAGCAAAATTAGGCAGAATCTATAGACACCAAAGCCTTCTACATCATTGACTAAAGCAGAAGTAGTGAACCAATAGTCAAAAATCCAACACATTACTGTTTTCAAAATATCCAGTCCTTGTGATATATTCTTACCAAAGCAAACTCGTGAGATATCCTTCCATCTGGAGGCAGCTTTGCACCAAAACCTAGAGCTGGGAACATTTTATCACTGTCATAATCTTGAACGATTTCTCCCACTGCTTTCAGTGCCATCCCATAGGCGTTCAGTTGGTAAGGATTCATGTAGTGGAGAGAAGTAGGCTGGGCAGGGTTGCCTGATGACAGAAAATTATTGCAAACATGAGTGATCAGGCTAAAGATGCAATTTTTTGGACATTTTTCTTCATATCTATTTCAGAATGAAATATTTTAAAATTATGTTTTTCTGCGTACACCCATAGTGTGTCAAATAGTTTTTTTGGGGGGGATGGATATTAACACAGAAATATTTATTACATTTGATCACACATGTAGAAAATTTCCCAAAGATAGGCCAAAGTATATGCAGATTTTTTTCAGAAATTATTCTTCATTGTCAATGCCACAGGCTATTCTTAAAATTTAGTTCTAGAGTATAAAAGTATTTTTGTTAATTTTATTTTATTGCAATATTTATTTTTAAAAAATCATATGCCTTTGGCTTGAATTCTTATGTCTATAATCCAGGGACCTAACTGAATTAATGGGCTTGAATAATTAGGCGGTCTTCCTAAAGTTATATCACAAAAATAAACTGAATATTTGAGAACTATCCCAACTTATTACTTAAAAAAAAAAGAGAGAGCATAGTGATTTTTAAATTTAAGCTAATTAAATATCTAGATCTGAAAAAATTCAGAGTTTCTAACTAGACATTAAGATAGGAGGCAGGAGGCCCAAAGTTGAGTCTTGCCATTTGCAGGACAGTATCTATAAAATGCCTGCAATAAATCTACCATAGTGTTTACTGGAAGGACAAGATGAGCTTATGTGTGTAGAAGTGATTAAAAACAATAAAGCACCCTAGAAATGTAAGGTTTAATTACTACTGTTAATAACATCTGGGTAATCCAGACGTTATTCTGAATGTCCAATGTCTTATACTATGTAGGATGTTGCATTTGAATAGAGATGAATTTGAGAGAAAGTAATATATGTTCTGCCACTTAAACACACTGAGATTCATACTGAATTGCCCTCATTACCACCACTCAGAAGCCTGAAAGTCCATTAAGTTTCGTAAGTGAAAATGGAAAAGTTAAATGCAACTCATGATAACACATAAAGCTCAATTCCACTTTAAGACCTTGCCTGAAGAAGGAAACCCTCGGGGCACAGTTTTTTCTGATAAGGAAAAATAATTATAATAAGCACTTGAGATCCAGAGAGACACAACATCAAGGAGAGATCTTCCCTTGGTTCATAATGCATATAATCATAGCAAGGACATTTTTGGTCTAAAAATAATTTATTGTGTAAATGCATTTGTATTTCCAAAAGCGTTACAAGCATTGAAGGGCTGGTTCCACATGACAAAATTTCTAAAAAAGTGTCCTTTGGTCAAGATGGCCTTAACATTCTCCTCAGTTTGACTAAACTTTAGACAGGTTTCTCCTGACTATAAGCCACAAGCTCTCTTTTCTTAGAGCATTTACTTGAGATAACTTGCAATTGTAAATTCTCTGTCCTTTGAGGTCTAAGGCTCCTACAACTCGGGAATGTCTTTCTCAAGGACCCAGGAGCCAGCCCTTTGAAATGTCATCATAAGAAAGATACCACCCCTACCACCTATAGTCTCTGTGGGATGGTCGGAGCCTAACTTTAATAACTACTAATTAGCAAATACAGATGGCAAAATCACAGAGACCACCTCCCCCTAGTGTCTCCGAGTACTTTTCTACTAGTTCACCACAGCACTTAAATTCCCTCCCCTCTTTTGTTTTCGAGGAGTTGATTCAACATCTCTCTTCTGCTGCAATGGTTTTGATCCCTGTCACAATAGTTCTGAACAGTCTTCTTCGCTTGTTGAATTAGTCTGGTACAATTTTTCTTTGACATTTTCTTCTAAAGTAGGAATTTTGCCACTTAGTCAAAAGCCCACTGGAGTCACAGATAAACAATACCACTCCTTGGCTAAGTGGTTATTTAACCACAACTCGCAAATATAAGTGTTGGTACCCAACGGTTGCAATATGGCAACTAATTCAATTTCACTAAGAAAACCATAACTTAAAATAAAAATACCACTAATACCCCAGTATGATCTTAGCCTATCATACACATTAGCCTGATCCTACCTATTTAAAGATGTTGCCTAACCCTTTCCAGCAACTTCACCCAAACCAGTCTTTTCACTGGACCACTAGTGATATCTTCCTTACTATTACGACCTCTCAAGTTACCACTCTGTGCTGAAATTCACTTTATTTTCCTCCAGCTTATGTCTCACATCCCACCAGACTACCTTCCTTGTTTCTTCCAGCACTTACTGTCCTCTCCTACTCTTATGGCTTTTGTATTCTGCACCACAAAATATGGCTATTTGCCAAACTGAGTGTCAATTCCTTGAAGTTGGGACCATGTTTGTACCACTTCTGAATCTGCAACAATGCATATGAAGAATGAATTTATAGTACGCTGATAACATTAATAACAATAGTAAGTATAATAGTATGGAATCTAACATGTATTGAACACCTTAATTCATATCTCACTATTCCTTTTCAGCAAACCTATGGGTAACTTTATTATATCCACTTTTTAGATTATATAATTTTCGGATTAAATAACTTGCCCCAAATCACACAACAACACTTGGTAAAACTAGAATATGAATCTAAGCAGTCAGATTCCATAGTCCTTACTCTTAGCTGTAACTCTTACTTAAGAATCTTGTAATATTTTAAACCCTGAATATTATCAAATTTATATCTGATTTGTTTTAGAGGTACACCATGCCTTCATAAAATAATCTTACTTGGATAGACTCTTTTTTAAAAAGCTTTCAATTCCCCCATTTAAACTATATAATTCAATGGTTTTAAGTATATTCACAGATATGTATAACCATCACTACAATCAATTTTAGAACATTTTCATCACCTCAAGACTTGCAGCTTGTGCCCACGCAGCCCATCTGGCTCACTTCTAAGGCTCACTTCTACCTTTGGTGACTTTCTAAAAAAACTTTCACTTATACTTGGGAGGAAAGAAGAAGAAACCCTGTACCTATTCACTATCATTCACTCGTCATTCCATCCAGCCCAGCCCTAAACAATAATATACTTTCTGTCTCTATTAATTTGTGAATTCTGTACATTTCATATAGGTCGAATTACATATGATATGGTCTTTTGTGACTAGCTTCTTTCACTTCACTGTGATTTCAAGTTTCATCTATGTTGTAGCATGTTTCATCACTTCATATTTCATTCTTGTTTATTGTTGAATAGTATTTGTATCAATATACCCCATTTTTCTATCCATTTATGAGCTCATGGAAATTTGGGTTGTATCTATTTTCAGCTGTTATGTTGCTAAAAATATTCATGTATGTGTGTTTGTATGGAGGTATGTTTTCATCTCTCTTGTGTATATATGCAGGAGTGAAATTGCTGGGTCATATGGTAACTATAGTAACTTGAGAAACTGTCAAAGTGTTTTCCAAAGTGGCTACACCATTTTACATTATCACCAGCAGAGTATGAGGATTCCAGTTTCTCTACATCCTTCCCGACACTTGTTACCTGATTTTTAGATTACAGCCACCCTAGTCGGTGTGAAGTAGTCTTTCACTATAGTTTTGATTTGCATTTCCTGGTGTCTAAGTATGCCAAGTAATTTTCATGTGCTTATTGGTCATTTTTATATCTTTTTTGGAAAAATGTCTATATTCCATATTTTAATTGGGTTGTCTTTTCATTGAGTTATAAGTGTCCTTTATATATTCTGGATACAAGCCTCCTATATGTTTTGCTAATATTTTCTTTCAATCTTGGACTTGTCTTTTCACTTTGTAATGTAATTTTGATGGAGTTCAATTTATCTATTATTTTCTTTTGTTGCTCATGTTGTCGGTATCATATCTAAGAATCAATTGCCGAATCCAAGGTCATAAAAACATATCCCTATTTTCTCCTAATAATCTTACAATTTTAACTCTTGCATGGAGGTCTTTGATCTATTTTGCATGAATTTCACATGTTATGTGAGATAAGGGTCCAACTTCATCCTTTTGAATACGGCTATCCAGTTGTCCCAAGAATAATTTGTTGAAAAGACTATACTTTCCTCATCGAATTGTCTTGGTACTTTTCTCAAAATCAGTTCATATTAAACACACAGGTTTATTTCTGAAATCTCAATTCTATTTCATTGATCTATATCTGTATCTTTATGCCAGCACCAATTGTCATGATTATTGTTGCTCTGTAGTAAGTTTCAAAAATGCAAATTGCAAATCTTCCTACTTCCTTCTTTTTCCCTCAAGTGTGCTTTTGTTTGGGTCAGTTATCCATTTTTTCAAGTTTTGATAAAGATGGCATTGAATCTGTCGATTGACTTGGGAAATATTGCCACCTTAACACTGTTGAATCTTCCAGTCAATAAACACGGTGTGTTTTCCCACTTATTTAGATCTTTAATCTTTCAACAATTTTTTCAGAGTCGTTTTTAGAGTATAAGTTTTACACTCACTTTGTTAAATGTACTCCTAAGTATTGGATTCCTTTTGATACTATTGTAAATAGAACTGTTTTCATAAATTCATTTTCAGGTTGTTCATTGGAATTGTGTAAGGAAAAAAAATTATTTTATATATTGATGTTTTATTTTTCAATCTTACTAAATTCATTTATTAGTTCTAATAGGCTCTTAGTGGATTAATTAGGATTTTCTATATACAAGATTATGTCATCTGCAAATAAAAATACTTTTTCTTTCTTTCCAATCTGGATATATTTTATAGCTTTTTCTTGCCTAATTGCTCTGGACACAACCTCCAGTACAATGGTGACTAGAAGTGATAAGAGTAGACATGCTTATCTTATTTCTTATCTTAGGGAGAAAGCATCTAACTTTTCACTGTTAAGTATAATGTTAGCTATGAGTTTTTCATATATTCCCTTCTTTAGTAAGGCAACTTCTATTCCTAGTTTGTTAAGTGTTTTTATCGTGAAAGTATGTTGGACTTTGTCAAATGCTTTTTCTACATCAATTGAGATGACCATGTGGTTTTTTACATTTTTTTCTACTGATATAGTGCATTACATTATTTGATTTTTTTAATGTTAAGACAACCTTGCATTCTTGTGATAAATCTTATTTGATCAGGGTATATAATTCTCTCTATATACTGCTGAATTCAATTTGCAAGCACTTTATTGAAAATATTTATATCCATAAAAATTATTATTTAGTTTTTCTTTTATTATGAGATCTTCGGAGTTAAGAAGTGTTCCCTCGTCTTCTATTTTTTGGAAGAGTCTGTGAAGAATTTTTATTAATTCTTCTTGAAATATTTGGTAGAATTCACTCATGAAGCCATCTGGACATAGGTGCAGATAAACTTTGTGGGTAGGTTTTTATTTATTTATTACTAATTAAATTTCTTATTACAGATATATTCAGATTTTCTATTTTTTATGTCAGTTTCAAAAGTTTGTGTCTTTCTATCGAACAGATTCTTGCTCTTCTTGGTGTGCTAATGGTCATCAGTGAATAAAAGCTAGTATTTTAAACTAGTTGGGCTTTAGGTTTTACTTCTATGTTCCATATTTTATTGAATAAAACATATAAGTAAAAATCATTAACGTGAAGTCATAATGCTGGAGAATAAACTCAACATGTAGTCTAAGGTGAGCTGAATTGGAGTTCGATCTCCTAATCTCTATTTCTAACTCAAGAATTAACAAGCAAGATGTATTTATTACTAAAAAGATTTCTGGAGTTTTTTTTCCATTTGTATAAGAAGACGACTGCAGTAAGTGATTTCCAAGGTGCTTTTTTACCTAAAAATTCTATTACTTTGTGAAATGTGAATCAATGTGAAAGAGATGTGAGATAAAAGAAATATAATGTGAGGGTCATAATAAGCACAATAAATAATTTGAAGAAAAGAAAAATGACTAGACATATATAAACTGATGACAACTTCTGGTAAAAGCTAAATAATGAGATTCATATTCTTATGATACATAATAACTATTTCAGATGACTGTCCTATTTGAAACAAAGTTACTTCAAAATAAAACTAAAAGTCCACTACTTTTTTCTTGAAATATTTGATATACAAATTACAAATATCTGCACATGGGGTATTAGATGACATTCCTTCTGAATTAAATATAAATGTGTTAACATGAATAATTCTTAAAAATAAATAATCAAGTAAAAATAAAGCAAGTCAAATAAGGTACATGTACTTGAATTACATTTATATAAATTATTACAAATAAAAATACTATTAAAGGAGGATTATAATTAGACAAATTTCAGAATTATAATTATTTATGAAGAAGAGGGGAGGGTAGAAGAAATGGGGGTGGGTATACAATGGGCTTAAACTAAATCTAAAATTTTATTATACCTGAACTAATTCACACTGTTAAAAAGAAAATTTATCTGAATATCTGAATTTTATATGAAACACTTCAAAATATGAAAATGTAGAAATAAAATATCTAAACCTCATGAAAATAAATATTAATTTTTCACTTAATTGCTGATAATTTTTATTAGGGGATAGTCATAATACTCACCATTTGATGCTGTAAAATCAATAGCGACTGTGAAATTGATTTGCGTTCTAGAATATAAGTAAATAAGATTCATTAATACAAAAAGTTTGATTTCCATTTGTGTTTTCCTATTTTTGAACATAACTAATTTTCTTAAATATGACTATTGCCAACTATGTCACAGTACACACTGGATAGCATCAGATAGGCAGTTTTCAATGGTAAGAACTTGGTAAAATACCTTTACAATCATACGCCTGTAAAATAAAACAAAGTTACCTCTTATTTTGGAGCACAATAACCAAGTAAGGAGCTCATAATGAAGAAGTGAAACTGCAAATAATTATTTGCCAGACTCCACCTGTCAGCATTCATTCTTAATATGCTTTCAAAACTATTCTATAGTTTACATGAAATTATTATGCCCTTGAATGTGTGACAAAGCTAAAATCATCTCTAGTACTCTAGTGATCTCATTTCTTGAACTAATTCTTTCCAACAATCCTAAAACACACAATTTTCTCCTGCTTTCCTAAAAAATGAAGTATTTCAGATACTGATCTCTCTCTCTCAGTGATTACTGCATTCCTATGTGTGTGTGTGTCTATAGACATAAATATTTATATAGATAAAATTGGTTATATATGATTCTTCTGGGTTATATTCCTCCCCCCCTTTTTTTGATAGAAACCAAAGTGACGGCATTCACATAAAAGCTGCACTCTTTTGTATATACCTCTGCTTCTTTCTATAAGTAATTCAGCCTCTTTCTCAACAAGTAAAGCATAAAAATACAAATATGTGACAATGATATGATTACAGGAATAACCTGAAATCATATCTAATTTAAAAAATAATTTTAATTGAAAAAGAAAATCATTTGAAACCATGAATACTTGGACTATTTTTAATAACAAATTACTTTGACACACTGCACAACTGATTTACCACTTCAAGTTTGAAACCGCTGTATAAATGGTGGTGATGATGATGATGATGATGTTAACTATTACAGCACAGGATCCCTTGTAGTTCTCTTAGTATTAACTATAGTAATATTTCCTTCTGTCTTTAAAAATGAAGCCTGAAAAGCCCTAAATACTATGCAGGTATTGAAACAAATCAATCATTTTTTTCTAAGGAATGAGTCTTTTATGCTTTACATTTAATAAAAAACTAATATAGATTCTCTTTATAGCTACTTGGTAATTTTTTCTTAAAGTAGTAATTAGGTTTATAGGCTAAGAATATAGGTTAATTTGGAACATACACTAAATAGTATGAACCAAAATGAGTTTAAAAAATTTTAGAAAAAGAATATAGGGATACATTTGGGAGAACATTTTGAGATAATAAATCTCTTTGAGGAACTTGAAAGAACTGTCACTATCCATCAGCACATTGCTTTGTCATTCTGCTGATAGGGAGAGAACTGGCTGTACTATAGGAAGCATGGTGTATTAGAAAGGGTATAGCTTTTGAGTCTGAGAAAACTGGGTTTCAATTCCAACAACCCAGTTACTGACACTAGCCAAGTTTTAAAACTCTCAGAGGAAAGGTGCCTGGCACACAATAATTAAGCAAGGACTGACAGAAAAAACTACACAAAACATTATATCTATCTATCTACATCTATCTATCTATCATCTATCTATCTATCATCTATCTATCTATCTATCTATCTATCTATCTATCTATCTATCTATCTATCTATCTATCTATCATCT